ATTTGCATCTTCTTGATGCAATGTTTAAAGGTTATGTGGAAAAAAAATAACCAATCCCTTTAATATATGTTTTATTTTTTTTCATTTTACTTACACAGTAAAGCAAGTGATTTTAAAAATGACACCATCATGACCAAGGGGACTTACTACTCTCTTCATCCCCACAGCAACCTTCCCCAGATTTTGTAGGGTAAGCCTCGCTACTAAAGAAAGGTGGGGGTGGAATTAATATTTTTATATATTTTCAGGGTGCCGCTGGTGCTATCTCAAAGGACAGTGCACGCTCCCTCCAGAATTTGTATTGTATCACGTTTCTAATGCTCACGTATAAAAAATGAAGGGCAGTACCATCCTCATTAAGCTGAAGTGGTCTGGGTGCCTATAGTGGTCCTTTAATAGTTATCCCTTGGTATCATCATCCTCCTGGCTAGTTTCTCTCCACCAATCTTCCCGTCTCTCCTTGCACAACTGGAACGTCCACATTCCATTTCACTTTGTCACCTTTACAGGCTACAGATCTCGTACACAGGTTTTTAAAATTATTGTCATACCTAGCAAGTTTTCCTCTCCCAGCACTTTCTCTCACTCTCTTTTACTCTACGTTGTAAGATTGTCTGCGCAGTACTCTCCTTACCTCTTCTTTTTGTACACTTTCCTTTGCGTGACAATTCTTTACTGCTCTAGATCTCTGTTCAAAAATGGTGAAACTCTGCGGCATACGTTGGTGCTATATAAATAATAATATATAGCTCAAGAGACAAATGCAAACAGAACAACATTTCCGGGTCAATTTCCATTTGTGAAGAACCAAAAAAGTCCACTATTGTACACAGATTCCTGTTTGTGTAAGCCTTTTCTATGCTTCTATACTATTACATTGATTGAGTTGATGTGCTAGCTAATCAACTACATCGAAATATGAATGCTCCATACATTCAAGGTATAAATTGCACATAAAACAACACTACCTTTCATAATGTTTCACAGATTGATAATCTAGAATACGGTGCGAATGTTTTGAAACTGTGGCTCATTCTTTTCTGCTCACTTGCAAAATAATAGTTGGGACATTAATTTGGTTCATTTAGATTTGTTTTTTTACATTGCCAAACACAAAGTGTTGACTCATTTGTCTGAAGAATATGATGGTAAATCCAGTAACCCATTAATATATAGATACACTGCTCAAAGAAGTTGTCTGTGAACACTTTTAGCACTAAAAAGTAGATATATATGTATGACAGCATCATAGTATGTGCTAAATATCCAAACACACTAAGGAGTCCAGGCTAGAGTTGGTTATTTTTGTTCAAATTCATTATAGAGATAATGAATGAAAAATATGATAGAAAACCTGAGGCCACGCTGCTCATGCTGATTGAGTTATTACTTCCTTTGCCATTTCCAATGTTACCTAAGACTTTCACAAGATTGCTATAATCGATAATTCGTACTGGTTTGCTTAATGCTGCCCTGCGCGGCCATGTAAATGAGAGAAAGTGTAACTTTTAGGGACCTGTGTGTCCTCTTTTCCTGCATTTTGATATTGCTATTGAACTAAAACAGAACTTTAAATCACACACACACACAAAAAAAATGATACAAAAAAATAAATTAAAAGAAAATATTTGGTCTACTTTCACTTGCTGCAAATCCCCTTGGTTTGCATTTTCCTGATAACTACATACACGGTTTTCTGAAGAGAGCTGCTGTAGACTAGGCAGTGGATCTGGATTATTCATAGTAAACGGTGAAACACCCTTTAATTGGAGAAGGGAACTTCTAGAGGTTCATCCCATAGAATCTAGCCAGGACAAGAGAAGCATAAAATTCCTTTGTGACATCGGTGAGTGAGAAAGTAGGAGTATAGCTACAAACATCTCTGAAATGAAGACACTGTGATTGAGATCCTCGTTCCATAATACACTGTGCAGGGAACATGGGTTGTTTTGGTGCTTTGAGTATCTCTTTTTGTTTTACCTACATCTTTCAGTAAAGCGTGCTCTTACCTTATACTGTATGGAAACCACGATAAACATACATGAAAGTGATCTGTGTCATCTTACGGCTCGTTATTTGCATTTATCTACATAGTTTCTCCATTGCTGCACAACAGACAGACAGAGGCTACCTGAAAGAAGATAGAAGGTGGAACAAAAAAAAGGAGAAATTGTCCAGAAGAACCAATAGGAGATGAACCAATCACATCCAATCTGTCTTCACCGTATTTTGTGCCTACCACAAATGCAAGGGTAAAAATGATTAGTGATGATATAATCTATAATCTTATTTCGGCATTGATAAAATTGTGCATGTTGATCCGTGAATGAAATATCCAGGTCATGCACTTTGAAAACCAATAAAAATTATACATAGAAGAACGAAAAAAAAAACAACTTATTGGCCGCTGCTTGAGTGATGCTGTAATAGGTCTGCATTTATATGAACAAAGCTTTGTTACATCTCTATTCTAAATTGAGCTGATTTTCATGTTGCCACGAGGGTTAATGAGTAATTAGGGTTATAGTAAAATTGAGAGATTATTTAGGGTAGAGGGTATATCCTCATTAGTTTCAAGGAGGCCTGCACTCGGAAAACTAGTGAGGGTAAGAACATCAGAAGCTTGAATGAGCGAGAGACGAACAGCTGATGCTCTCAGTCAATCAGCGGCACCCCTGCCCGCAGCAATCCAAGAAGCACAAAAACAGAGGCAAAGCTAAACAGCGATGGGGAGAAGACTTAGGGATTATACATTTGTGAAGGGTATAACCACTAAAGGTAAGCCGGCGCCAGGGACCTCCTGGCACCATAACTTCATTCAAACAAAGTTGTTAGAGTGCCCAAAGGTTTCCTTTAAAAATCAACACTCTGTTTTAAGGTTTGAGGTATTCTTTGGCCCCAGGTGACCCCCCCAATAAATGTAAAAATAACAATTACTTACCCTTTTCTCCACGCTGGGAGGTTATCAGCGACCAGTCTTCCTTCCTCTCCATCCCAAAATGTTCACAGATGCAGAAATTGCTGCAAATTTGTAGATCGCCCAATAGAATGCTTCTCACAGTGAAGAATTAGACGAATCCATGTATGGAAGCTCTCACTTCTCCTTGAACAATTGTTCAAGCAGTCACGCAAGAAACCCTCCTGGCTGTCAGCTTGATGACTGGGAGGAGGCATTTCTAAACCCATTCATAAAAAGAGTGCAGATTTCTTATGATATAGACACTTTCATGAATTGGGACAAGGGGAACCTCCTGTTAACCCCTAAATCACTTTAGCAAGTTGAAGCGCTTGAGGGGTTTTGATTGTCCCTTTAAGTCTCTATTTGACCATGGGGTTAATTCATAAACATTACAGATTAGCCAATATAAGAGAAATAAAAAAATGTATAGACTTTATTTTGTATAAACATACTCTTTAAAAAAAAAATTAAAAAAAAGATATTTTATTTAAAGAAAAAACAAACAAAATTGATGCAGTGGATGGTCCAAAATAGGATGTGACATTAATGTCTCTCAGTACCGTTAAATTAATCACCCAGCATATAATTGCGACAACACCATGTTTCTGTAAGAGATCTTTCAGTACAAGGAAAGATGCTATCTAACTATCTGTCTTTTTTCTATCCATTTTATTGAGGAGACAGCGGATACTTTGCATATGTTCACAGGAAACGCAAGACATATACAGGGAGATAAATGACAAATGAGAGCAGCCCAGGTTAGATTTGATCCCCCATTCATAACATGGAAAGATACGAGGATACTATTTCCTAAGCTGAACATGAAACCTATTCCCCTGTCTTTCCTTGTGCATGGTATGTAAACATGTCTGAATGGGCTTTATACATGTGAAGGAAAAGAGGAGAACATTTTTTTTTCAACACATGTAGGCATGTACTAACCAGTCACAACTGGGGGAAAATAAAACACACACAAAAATGAACAAAGTCATGTCAATTGATTGTTCTATTTATTTTTAATTTTATTGAATGTGCACTTATAGCAGCCAAAATGAAAATGTCTCAGTATATAACCTATATGAAACCATGCTGCTGTGATTATTTAAAAAAAAAAAAAAATTAAGAAAAATTTAAAAATATATATGTGAAATACTAAAATAAAATATTCTAACAAATGTGCTTGATTAGTATATTAATATTGCTGTTAAATGAAAAGAAATGGTTTAAGTTTTATATGGAGTTATTTTTTATTTATTTTTTTTGCAGTACTTTACAATTTGGCAGCAGGCCTATAGAACAACAAGTAACTGACAGACAAAAATAAAAACTTGACACATACAAGAGGTTAAAGGGCCCTGCTCAAACAGCTTACAATCTAGGAGTTTATGGTTTAAATAACAGACAGCTTACTGAGTCATTTCACTTTATATTTATGAATGAAAACTATTCAGAACAACATAACTTGTAAATCATGTAAAGAACAGAAAGTGATTGTGTTTCTTCGGCCAAGCCTGGTCCTCGTTGTTTTCCAAAAGGTTTGCAGGAAAACTTTGCATGTTATGAAGTTCAGCTTGTCAAAAAATCTTTCCTTTGTAAAAAGAAAGTGAAATTGCGAAATCAATAAGCTACACACTGACATTGTAACTGGTGCATTCCACCAGACCAAACATTGTGTTACTGCAATATAATATAACATTATATATATTTTATTATTAATCAACATATACACATTTAATCCATGTATGCATCATTCATCCATTCAGGTGTACCCATACACACACCTACAGGTGAAACGTGTGCCGATAGGCACTAGAATGATGCTAAGAGAGTCAGGGATTCCCCAGGCTGTCCCTTTAAACTCTCCTGGCTCAAGGCCACTCTGCTAGCCACGTGGGTTTGTCTCCATGTATCCTCTCTCCCCAGTGCTGCTGGATGTCTGCTCTATCTGGCTGGGCTCCAGCCTCTGATCGCTGGCTCCTTCGCCCTGCCTCCTCCTATTTTTTCCACCCACGGGTAAAGGTGTTTTTTTTTCTACCCATCCCACTTTATTAATCCGTGGGCTGGCCTTGTATCACATGCCCTACTCACACCAACACAAGACCTCCCTTACCCCCAATCACACACGTGTGGGCATATAGCAATACTTATACGTTGAAATAGGCTCTGCTAACAGTATTGCTGGAGCCAGTGTAGGGAAGGAAGGGGTGTCACTGTTACCTCCAGTGCCCTATGACCTAGTTTGTCCTTAATCCGGTCAGATCACACATTGTTCAGGTCTGCCCCGAGCATCCCCCTGCTGCTCATTGTATTGGGGGAACCCCGCTCTCTCGCCCGGGCACTAGCAGGACCCTATCCGGACGGCTCCTCGTGTGGAATCCTCCAGGTGCAGCAAATCGCTGGGGCTGAGCGCAGCATGAGCTCGAGGGAAGGAGCCCGCCAGTCCTCCTCGGTGGAGCAGCCTGCCTCCCCTTCACAGTCACCGAAGAGGGGACGAGGGAGACCCCGGAAACCGCAAAAAGTCAGTACTGGATCTTCAGCCGCCATTCACAAACCGCACACAATGAGGCATGACCCTCCCGCATGCTGCAGCATTCCCATACCATGACCCCCATGCATGCTGCAGCATTCCCATACCATGACCCCCCCATGCATGCTGCAGCATTCCCATACCATGACCCCCCCATGCATGCTGCATCATTTCCATACCATGACCCCCCATGCATGCTGCAGCTCTCCCATGCCGTGATCCCCATGCATGCTCTAGCACTCCATGCATGCTGCAGATCCTCCTATACATGACCCCAATGCATGCAGCTGCACTCTATACCGTACCCTCTCCATGCAGCCATACAATGAACTCCTTAATAGACTCTTGCAGTTGCACCCCTTCATTTCACACAGCTGTACTCTTGCACCCCATATACAAACATGCAGGGAGGCTCTTGCACCCCCTTACTGCGCGCTCTATGCCTCCTGCACACCCGCCACTAGCACCCTGATAAATTCCCATTCATAAAATCCGTCGCATCGTGCCCAGTCCAGTGTACACACAGATCTGCATTGTGTGAGCAGGCACCATGTGAGTCAGTGCGCTCTCTCGGGGGGTCTCTTCCATGAACTGACTGAGGGAGGCTTTCCCTCCGCTGGTGGGGGCTATGCCGGCCGGCAGACAGCTCAGAGAGCAGACCGACCTGATATGCCCCCGGATCCCAGCAGCCTCAGGCTGTGTGGATGAGTTCAGCCCCGCGCCCACACTGCACACAGACCGGATCTCTGCACGTTCTATATTGGAACGTTCATTGTATCCACTCAAAACAATGGCAGCTATCAGTCAATGTACATAGCATTGAAATCACGATAAAATGCACATCCTTTAACCCTTGCAGTGTCGGTGGCTATTCGAATGGTTTTTGTTATTTACAGAAAATGTTTTGCATTGCCTCTTGGAAGTGGTTTTTGATGATTTTATTTTTTTTTCCTTCGTGCGACTGCAAGCTATTTTTTTAGATCTCAATCTGTGCATTTGATGGGTGTTTTTACCCATATTAGATCTCTCAATCTTTAGTAATGGCATTTTAATGAAAATGTGTTTTTTACGAACAGCCCAACACGTTAATTGGAAGCACTTGGGGGTGTTTTGGCCACAGCTAATTTCTATCAGCATCACTAGCGATTGTAGTCGCTCTTATTATTTTGCTTTGAACCTTTTAATTTTAAATAATTATAAAGATTAAAAAAAAAGAAAATCAGAAACCTAAGTGTTTTTTGTTTTAGTTTATTTTTTTTATGCTTTTAGGAAGTGATAAAGCAGTCATAGGAACAACATTGGGTCAAGTCATCTTCTCTAGTCAGCACAACTATAGTATTTATCTTTGATAATCCATATTTTCTGCCAAAACCACATTCCACGTGATTCAATCTAATCTATCCAAACCATTCATTCTTAAAAATGAGAGCCCCTATGGTGCTTTAAAAGGGCTCTCTGCCTAGCAGTGTGTTGTTGTTTTTTAAAATTTTTTTTTTATTTATATGTACATTACTTTATGTTCGTCTTACTTTATGCAGAAGTTGTCTAGTATTAAACCAAAGTGATTTTTAAGGTTTGTTTTGATTTAAATGTGAATGCATGCATTAAAGGATAGAGTTGTGTTTATTTTATTTTTTCTAAATACAGCTAGTGTGTGTGTGTGTATATACAGGTCACCTTTTAAAAAATAAAAAAATAAAAATTTTATGTGCATAACAATATTTTATTGCCTATCTCAACGTCGTTGGATTTGTACATTGGTTACATATTTTTCAGAGTAAGGTTTTTAATAGTAAACTACAGAAAAAAAGGTTTAAGTTGCATTTGAAAAGTGAAGGGCATTTTTCCCCTATATTGCATTCTTTCCACTATAACAAGTTTTTATTTCTGTGTTTAGGAGCCTGTAGCTGGGGAACCCTCTCCTAAAAGACCAAGAGGAAGACCCAAGGGGAGCAAAAATAAAAGTCCCTCCAAATCCGCACAAAAGGTGAGGTCTTATATAAACATGTTCAGGTACCATGTGAATGTGTGGTCACCGTGTGTTCTCTGTGGTTGTTCTAACCCCTTTTGAGTGCTCCTCAATGCTCATGACCCATAGAGGTTTGTTCATGTTGTGTGGATTTTGTTTAATGAAAAATACATCATAAAGCACACCCAGAACATGTTGGTAACTTTTAGATTAGTTGTTGTGAATGACTATGCTCTATCTGCATTAGGAGGAAACCTGTGGATTTCTAACATAGTCTGCAAAAGTTCAATAGATGTTCCATGAACCACAAATGGTGTGCATTTGTGGAACCCCTCACTTATTGAATGTTAAAAATAAAATCATGCATATAAGTAATGATCATTCGGAGGTCTGGCTTGCTATTGAATGGCAATCCCCCTCCTCCCAATGCAATTATGCCAGTTGTAAGGAGAACAAGAACATGTAAAACCTTGCATGCATGTTCATAGTTTTGTACACTGTTTATATTTAAAAATAAAAAAAGGTTGTGTAAATTCAACAGTACTCTTGGTTCATGTATAATATAAAGATTTTAGGAAGCAATAAGCAGCACTTGGTTTTTGTTGTTATAATTGTGAGCCATGAACACATCTGTAAAATAAAACTTGTATCTACCTTTGAAATGTTTGTGTGATTCACCTATCGATACTTCTACGTCTTCAGTGCCCTAAATGTTGAGTGGACACTATTAACACATGTCCTATAATCAATATAATTGCTATTTCTGAATCAATGACTGCTTATACATGTTTTAGATGCTGATCACATTTCTTTGGATTTTGCTTTGTAAATGTTTAAGACCAGTTGATATGTCCATGTGTACATTCTGTAGGATTTGCTGTGTATGAAATATAATCTGTTTTTGAGTGTAGATACATTTATGTCTGTCGGAATACCAGGCTTGGCTGTTCTAGTGTATTCATCTTAATCTGACTTGCATTTCTAAATTCAGAGGGCATCTAAGGTCTTGTGTGTGGGGTATTTTTTTTTATTTTTTGCTAGTCTATAAAACTCTGGATGAGCAGTTATGTGACTTGTTTTACTGAGCTACTAGTAAAGTAATGTTTCAAAGGATAATCTAATATAGATAATATATACTATGTATATATTTCTCATATTTTCTTTGCAGATTTATGATTATTATTTTTTAATTCCATTTTTCATAAGATCTAACAAATTTTCTTTAGCTGTGATCTGGTAATCCCTTTTAAACAAATTATTTGCAGAATGGATCCATAGCTTTCTTTGCATTTTCCTGATGAGCCATAAAGAGAGGTGAATGGTGTGTGTGGCCTCTGCTCGTGAGATCATTGGACTGCACTGCAATGTTAACAAAATATAATACAATATAAAGTTGCACCTCCACAACCCACCCAGCAAAAGTTAAAAGGCATTCATGAAAAAAATATCTAAATATGTGTGAATATCTAAAATTCCTTAAAGTATTAGACATTGTATCTGCCAATAATCAACCTTTTAAATAAATTGTGAACAAAAGCTATTTTTGAAATGTTTTTGCAGTTTGTGTACTTTTCATTGTTTGTGGGGTTGTTTTGATGTGATTTTGTTCTTGTTAGTCAGCTGTCCTTGATGTGTTCCAAGAACAATATTTTGCATGTTAAAGAAACCATGTCAGTGCTTGCATTTATTTAGTGACTGATAAGGCAGCTTATCTTAATGCTAACCTGTGCTTTAACGAAAAACATCTCTTTAATTATCTAACAAACATCATGGAATATGTTCTTCAGTTGAGCAAACTCATAATTTAAGGAAATTGGAAAATGCTAATTTTAAGGTAAATTTCAAAGAGCCCAAAATAGTCAAAGGGACACTATAGGCACCCAGACCACTTCATTGCGATGAAGGGGTCTGGGTGCAGTTTTAGATAAACTGCAATGTTTACATTGCAGGGTTAAGGCTAACTCTAGTGGCTGTCACTAGAGGCGCATCCTGCGGTTTCACAGAGTTTGACTTCGTGAAACAACACTGGACATCCTTACGCTTTGCACGAGGACGCCCATCGTCTAGAAAATCCCCATAGAAAAGCAATGCCTCAATGCTTTCCTATGTGGAAGGACTAATGCGCATTACGCTACCCCCCGCCATCAGCGGACTGTGGCGGAGGAGCTCAATGCCGCGCAGAGGGACATTTGCGCTGGAATCGGGTAAGGGGTTTTCCACACACATCAGCACAGCTATTGTCTGTTTACTTTTAAAGCGAGAATTGTGGAAAGTATCCCAATGGATTGGCAAGTTTTGTAGTTTCAAGTACAAGTTTCCAACACGGCTAGGTTGGGTTTAAACAATTTAGTAAAAGGTCTGACATAGCACCAGACAGAACAAAGTCAAAATAGTATTTGAACTCCAAGTCGGTTCTCAGCCAGGCTACAAATGTATTATTGTGTAATTAAAGATGTAAAATATATGAATCCTAAAGTAGATACCAGCTACATATAAATTCAATCCAGCAATATGAATACAGAATATCTATTTGTGTATATCTATCAATCCTTACAACCAAAAGAAATCTATACACCAATGAGTTCTGACCACCAAAGACAGAGCTCTTTTCTAAGAGAAACTGGGAAAACCGTCACTAATACCTTTTAAAAATAATTCAGATAGTTGCCTTTTATCCTCCAGTAATAAACCATGACATTTTTTGAGGTAATGGATATAGGTGACTGGGTTTCCAGTTCACCCCTTACAAATGTGCTCTCTCTTTAATGGCCAGTATGCATTTATATTTGTATATATGTTTCTTTAATATTTATTTTGGTTGTAAGGTTATATGTATAGATATGCTTCAGTCCTATGTAGCTGGAATCTACTTGTGGATTTATATATTTGTGGTTTAAGTTTTTTGGGGGGCTATAGAAGAAAGGATATTGCACTATATGTGTTGTATGAATGCTTCTTTGATATTCTACATTGTATATCTTGAACTTGCAGTTATCTTGTCAATTCCACAAAGTTAGAGATATAGTGACATTTTCTTTTTGTTTGTCCCTTCAAATTCACTTGATCCCAATCAAGTGAGATCTATCATTTTACTTGAATACACAAGTCTGGTTTGCTTATTAAACTGAATAAGCAGCAATTGATGATAAAACCCCAAATTTAGGCAAAAATAGCCAAAATTGATAGTCAACAAACCTATTCTTCTGGCTTTGATATTTTGGCTAAAAAAAAACACCCCCTAAAATGCATGCACAGATTCTAGTCCATTCATTTACTGACTGAATTCGCTTCTCTTATAGGCTAGCAGGTTTATTTGACACTATATCAATTGAGCTAATATTGTATGGAATGATGTTTATCCCTTATTTCTCATTGTGGAAACGCATGCAGTGTATGTCTGAATTTTCATGTTAAAAATATCCATGTAGCCAAACCTCTAGCCACAATTACTGCTTAGTGTTTTATCATGTGTTTTAAAGAAGGGAACTCACATTATCTTCTGGTACATATTTTAATTCCATAAAAAAATAATTTTAATCTACTGATGTTGACTATACTTAAGCCAGGTATACAGACATCATATATTTAATAAAGAATGATTTACTGATGTAAATATATTCTGCTAACTAGTTAATGTAGTTCTGGGTGGTCTATTTTTGGCTGTTAAAGGAGGAAATCTATTGAAACCATATATAGCAAATGTAGGCTAGAGCTGCATGCATCTAACCCACAAGAGATGACCAGATGTGCCAAGTTACTTGAGGGTCGCCTGGTTAAAAATATAATCAAACTGGTGTAAATGCCTTTTTAAAGTTATAGCCCCTCAACTGTGTCAAGTCACACACTGTGGATTCTTACCTCGTGGCCTGAGGAAGGTAGGGACACTAGTCAAATCTTCATGTGAAACCTATTTGGAAGCACACACAAATGTCAAAGGAAACAAACGTAAAAGTTCACACTATTTAGTACAATAAACATGTTTGGATTTTTTTGGGCGTCTTCGTTAATGCTTTCTGACTATCCAGACAAGTGCCCTTTAAAAGATACAGGTCCGGATTGCCGTCGCCCTATCTCGGCAGAAACACTGGGGCGTATTGTCGGCTTTGCCCATCGTCTGCGCGTCGGAGTTTGAGTCTCACGTCCTTCTGGTGGCCTTTTCTTTGTTATTTTGGGGGGCTTTCCGGATAGGTGAGTTAGTGGCGCTTAAATGGCGGTCGGCTTTGTCGCTGTCTTTCTGAGGTGCGGTGGTGGGCTTCATCGGTGGATATCTTCGCGTGGCGGTCCAAGACGGATCCGGGAGTCTTATGGAGCGTGGGTACAGATCGGGGCGATGTCTGTCCGGTTAGTGCCTTTCAGAGGTACTTGTGCGTTCGGTCGGAGAGGGGTGGCCCCCTGTTAGTGCATTTGGACAGGTCTTCGCTTACTCGTTAACAATTCACAGCGATGTTACAAAGGGCGTTGTCAGCCTGCGGGAAGGATGCTCATGGGTATTCAGCACATTCCTTTCGGATTGGAGCCGCTGCTCAGGCTAGTTTGCTGGGTATTCAGCTGCAGAGATTAAGCGGATTTGTAGATGGGAATCTGGGCACTTTAGGTTCTACGTTAGGCCTCATTTGTTGTAATGTTCTTCTCGTTGTAGGTTCAAGTCCCCATTATGTCTGGATAGTGGGGCATTCCTTTATATATATATATTGGGCTGCTCGTCACGTGGAAGAACGCACTTATGGATGGAATTTGGGGTTTTCCTTCGAGGTAGCACGGGTTAGATGGAGGAGCATTAGGGGTCTCCTACGGCAGCAGGTATATCCGGAGTGTATTGCGCTACGCAGATTTGTCTCGGGGCCAGTTATTTTGGTTATTCACGCTGGCGATAACTACTTGGGTCGGGTTAGGACAGTAGAACTTATCTACGCGACGTGGCTCAGTGTTTTTCCAGATCTCAGTGGTTTGGTCGGAAGTGCTCCCCAGGTAGTGCGGTCGTGCGTTGGTTGGAGAGAAGCCAGCTCAACATAACGGTTGGGAAATTTGTGCGGCAGCTGGAAGGAGTGGTGGTCAGACATGTGGAGTTGGAAAGCGACAACCTAAATTTAATGCGCAGGGACTGGGTCTATCTCCACTTGATCGGGTTGGACATCTTTAACACTGGCCTTCAGGCAGGGGCGGAGGCTGTGCTGTCTGCTGGGGACGCAATGACGACAAGGGATAGCAACTAATGTCATCATCGCAGGTGGCGGGAGTCCTGGCCAGCGCAGTCATAAGCGGAAGAAAGTACCGAAGCGGCTTGGGGAGTCACAGCCTGCCGGGAGCTGATGGCGCAGGCAGGCTGCTCCAGACTTATGGTTTAACAGGATAGATCTGTCTATTCGTGAAGCATCCCGACAGTGGTGAATAGTTGCTGGCATTGATTAATTAATAAAGCTGTGGCCGTTGCTCTTACTCGACAGAACAAGGTCTGACATGTCTTCTTGGGCAACGGGTGGGGATTGTTCCTGGGGGGTATTTATAACTAGTCCACTGCAAATATTAAAATTATTAAATTAACTTAAAAGAGGAGAGGGAAGCTGTGATGTCCCATCCTATGAAGCACTGGAAGTACTGTGATCTGCTTGTTGCCAAAGGCATCCAAACATTTTAGAAGTAGACTATTTTTGAAAGTTTCTATATATGCACTCTTCTCTGGAACACCTCTACACCCCAATCTTCCATTGGTGTCCTATTTCCTAACTTTCTCAATTGTAGTCATGACCTGGTAAATTCTTATCTTAGTTTGTCACTGCTGTCCTTTTTCATAGTTCTCCTAATGGTTCAAACCAGAATACCTGTCTCTAGAAATGTGCTTGTGTATCACTCTTTTTGGTTCCCTTTATAGTTTACTGCCGTAATCCCATGGAGGCCTGTTATCTAATGGGAACTCTGTAAATCTTTTCAGGGCAGACTCAGTGGCTTCTCCTTACAGAGAGCTCCTTCTCTGGCCCTGCTGTGCTTCTTGATATTTAGTGTAATTATTCTTGCATGTTCAAGTTATCCTGTCTCTCTGCCATTACAACGTGTAACCTGACTGGCCTGATAACGTGTCATCTGAGTTCTGTAGCCACAGGAGTGATCATTCAAATTCCAACAGCCATGCAAACACACAGGTTCAGTCGGAGTGGGAAATAATCTATTAAAATGTAGACTGTTCTGGAATGTCAACCTCTGCAAAGAGGCAAAGCCAGAATAAACATGCTGTCTATATTCTTCTTGGCCCCTCTCTATTGAGTAGAAGATTGTTTGTTTCCTTGATGCATGTGATATGTACTTACAATGAGACACTTTACTGATGAAGGTATTCTATAAAGTTGTATTCCTTACACCAGTGGTTCCCAAACCAATCCTCAAGTACATTTGGTACTCCTGATTGGCCAAACTATATGTTCCATGGACTTTTCAAAGAAAGCATTAATGAAACTGGATTTACAACCCCTATAGGTGTGTGTCCCTTTTAATTTTTTACACTGACGTTGTTTAAAGAGGCTGGTGGGTGGCTTTGTAAGAATATTTTCATATAAGCCTGTGTGATATGCAATAGATGGATGTTTGTATATTTGTGAGTTCTGCTTATTTTTTTTATTTTTTGGGGTATACCTACAGAAGGGTCTCTTGGGATCCTCCCATAGCTGAGACACAAGTCCTGGCAGGTGAGGCTCAGCCTACCATTGGCATCTAAAGTTGGGAAAACTTTTTTTTTTTTTTATTTTAGCATTAGTCTATCCACGGTGGAGGGACTGAATATTAGAAGCTAGGAGAGCTTCAGGTTTTGCCAAACAACTCAAAGGGTATTCTACTAACGAGAGACTGCACTTTAAAGTTATTTTGCGTCATAACCACTGCAATAAGCTGTAGTGGCTATCGTACTTGGATTGCTCCTTAAAAGGGGAACTGTAACTGCTTCATATCCTTAACGTGGTTATGTCTCCTAATGCTGTCCTTCAATTAAAGGGTGGTTATAGGCATCAAAACAACCTTCGCTTAATGTAGCAGTTTTTGTGTATAGATCATGCCCCTGCAATCTCACTGCTCAATTCTTTTAGGAGTTAAATACATTTTGTTTGTTTATGCAGTCCTAGCCCTGCTTTGACTTGCACAGTCTGCATATTACAAAAAAAAGGTGTTAATGTCAATCAGAAGCTAAAGGGGCACTTCGATCACTATAACAACTTAATCTAAATTAAGTTGTTATTGTGTCAGGAGGCCCCAGGCTCACACTTACCTTGAGGGATTAAACCACTCTCAGTTTAACCCCTAGTGAGCATCTAGTGCCGCTTCTCAGGTCCCTTAGTTAATATCTGGCTCCTGAATCTGTTTCAGGAATGCTGCCGGGCAGGGACGCCGCTGATTGGCTAAGAGCATCATGCTGACGCTCTCAGCCAGTCAGTGACTCCCCATAAGACTGGCTTGAAAAGAAACGTACATTTAAAAAAAAAAAAAAAAAAAGTCACTAATTGGCTAAGTCAGCTGAATTTGTGGGGTTTGTTTTTTTTTGTTTTTGTTTTTTTTTTGTGCATAAAATTATATTTAATTAAAATGCAAATTTTTGTGTAGCCAACATGCTGAGACAAATATCATCTGTGTGATAAAGCCATTGATTGTAGGGATCGACCAATATTGTGTTTTTGTTTGTTTGTTTTTTTTAAGAGCTGATACCGATAATCTGTGAACTTTCAGGTCGATAGCTGATAGTTTATCGTATGTTTTGTATTTTTATTTTTTTATTTTCAGTCAGATTTTTTTTAATGTTTTGAAGAATATTTATATGTGTAGTGCATGCAGTGAGAGTATTTGATTAGTAAATGCAGTGTGTGTTTGTGTAGTGGATGCAGTGTGTTTGTGTGTAAATATGTGGGGTAGGAACACCCCCTTACCTGTCTCTTAGTACCCCCATTTCTCTCCCTTCTCTTTTAGTGGTCCCCCCTACCCCAGTGTTCCTTTTCCCTTCCCTCCCCTGTATATTAGTGTCCTCCCTTAATGTTCCTCTCCCCAGTGTTCTTCTTTCCTGTCCCATAGTGTTCTTCACCCCTTTCCCTGTCCATAGTGTTCTTCACCCCTTTCCCTGTCCCATAGTGTTCTTCACCACCCTCCTTCCCTGTCCCATAGTGTTCCTTACCACCTCCTTCCCTGTCCCATAGTGTTCCTTACCACCCTCCTTCCTGTCCCAGTGTTCCTTACCACCCTCCTTCCCTGTCCCACAGTGTTCCTACCACTCCTTCCTGTCCCACAGTGTTCCTTACCACCCTCCTTCCTGTCCCACAGTGTTCCTTACCACCCTCCTTCCCTGTCCCACAGTGTTCCTTACCACCCTCCTTCCCTGTCCCACAGTGTTCCTTACCACCCTCCTTCCCTGTCCCACAGTGTTCCTTACCACCCTCCTTCCCTGTCCCACAGTGTTCCTTACCACCCTCCTTCCCTGTCCCATAGTGTTCCTTACCACCCTCCTTCCCTGTCCCATAGTGTTCCTTACCACCCTCCTCACCTGTCCCATAGTACCCCTCGTTGGTCCCCGGTGTCTCTCCTGGTAGCGTTGCCGAGCGGAGCAGTGCGCAACACGGTACAGGAGATTCAGTCTCCTGTACCCTGCTGATCACTCTGATCTAGCGCCCCCTGGGCTGGTGCGCCCTAAGGTGGCCGCTTGTGCCGCCTTATAGAAGCACCGGCCCACTTATTCATTATCGGTACTGCCGTTGATTATCGTCCGATACTTACAAAAAATCGAATATCGTCCGATAATATCGGCAAGCAAAAAAACAAAATACTAAGAAAATCTGACAGTCTCCTATGTTAAACACTATTTTTATATTATCTATAATCTAGATCTCAGATATGCAATGCAGTATCACTATGGGGGTTTATTTACTACATGGAGAATTGTTGTGAACTGTATGCCAAATTACCAGAATTGTACTAGAACCAACTTGGCTATTTTTACAACCCTATTTTTGACTAATATTCCCAATTGTCCTGTCAATTTCTGCAGTTTAATGAATAAAACACTATATTTATGGGTGAGTGCAATGTAAAGCCTTGTGCAGGAATGCTCATTTGTGTGTGTAAAAACCTTATGTACATACGTAGTATGTTTGTTTGCATTAATGTGTGCGTATACAAGGTAGTGTTCTTATAAATCAGGGGTCCTCTAACTCCGGCCCCCCAGATGTTGCTGAACTACAACTCCCATGAGTCTTTGAATTACATAGATAGCCAGAGAATCATGGGAGTTGTAGTTCAGCAACATCTGGGGGCCGGAGTTTGAGGATCACTGTTATAAATGGTGTTTGCCTGTCCCAACTTTTTATATATGTCCATTACCTATGTGCCTGTTCCCACCAGCTTCCTCATTTCCAGATTTTGTGGTCTCCCTCTGCCCCCATTTTGTTTGTTCTCTCCCCGACCCATCCTGTTTACATTTCTCTGTGCTGTTGCCTCCATTTTCTTCCCTAGCTCTACCCCAGCCTTGTCACATGATATGAGTCTGCCTATAAACCGTGTGAACATACTACTACTACTACTACTACTACTACTACTACTACTACTACACGGGTAGGCAACGTTCAGCACTTAAGATGTTGTGAACTGCATCTCCCACAATGCTGGCAAAGCATATGGGGAGATGTAGGCCACCGAATCTGGAGTGCTGAAAGTTGCCTACACCTGTTCTACTATACCAGAACAGGTCTAGAAGGTTTTTGATTATATGTACTCCAGTCTTTAACCCATTGACATGCCCCAGTGATGCACGTTTTTGATAAATGACTAGAGGATGTTCCTCAGTCTTTATCCATCTAATCTTGGGAAATGTAGATGTTGGGGGTTTTTGTTTGACCGGAGTCAGGACACATGTAAGATGTTATCTGTTTTTAGATGATTCACAGGTCTGGATGAATTTTAGGGTAAATGTCCTAATGTAACCCATGAAATCACCATCACTCAGAACATCACCTGATATCAATTTAGATCAAATAATCAATATGTCTGTTAACACGCAAACTGTGGGGTATATTCACGAACTGCAGGATTCAGAGTAAAATAGCCACACTATGACTATAGGTGAATTATAATGGATAAAATGCATACAGCTCCTTGGTCAGTTTGGGGCCCCAGTTAGAGGTATATCTCGGGTTTTCTACTTTGTGACACATGCATTTCACAGAGCAGGGGATATGCTTTTACCACATTGATATAGGAACATGCAAAAACCTTTTTATAAATCACTATTTAGTAGATATACACCCCAACGGGGAGAGAAAGTGCTTGCAAAAGTCTGCACCCTGTGCAATCCTCCCCTTCTAACCCCGCCCAGACTTTCTGTGGCTGTCCAATCACAGACTTCCCAATACAGCTCAATGAAAAGCAAGACAGGTGCTCTGAGAAAATGCTGCCTCTTAGGTTTATCTCCTCTGAGTTAACCAAACCAGGAAGTAACAGGACTTGTTGACCGGCAGCCAGGAGGTATAACCAGGTTAATTTATAATAATGCCAATTTATATTGAAACCTGCACTTTTTTGTAAAGTGATAAAAAAAAATAAAGAGGGCACACCCTTCACCCATAAAGCAATTCATCAAGCTAAACAATATCAAACACTCTCATTTATTCTTATTGTAAGCCGTTAAGTCATACTACAACTAGTTGTAGTAGAAACATTAAATTTTCAACATGCGTTGGATCAGATGAAGAAATAACAAAACAAATGTAAGGTAACTGACCATGAGAACAAATTAATATTAATCACCAAAACAGGGCTGCATCACATACAGGAGAGCGACGTAATCATACCTAAAAAAAAAATAATAAAAAATGGTATGTGAGCGCTCACAAAATAAAATAATGACCACTAAAACACTGTATACCAAATCTAACAACACTGGGCTAATACAAATGAATAACAATCACTAAGAATGTATGTAATATTAAACATAAACATAAAAGAAAATAATAACATATGAATCAATATTGTAGCGATAAAATATCACATAAATAAAAACACCAAAAGTCCAGAGCAAATGTCTAAGAAGTAAACACTGTGTGGGCCCCTTGCACTGATTAAATAGCCACTGGAACTAAAAATGTGCACGTATAAAGAGTAATAAATAAAAATAAAAATGGAAGTAGAATTTAAAAAAATAAATAAAAACAATACCCAGACTCATAAACTCTCTCTGCTGGTTCAGACGAAGACCATTTTATAGTTTGAGAAGCATTAACTATTGTTTTTCATGAATTGTTGTAATGTGTTCTTCGATCCCTATGGCTGTATGTAACGTAAATTTGTCTTGCCAGGCTTTTCGAAAACCACTGCCAAGCTACCACCTAACTGCAGTGAGTGGCCTGGCGTTTAGTGTGGGGGACCAGAGCACTCATGCCTTCCACATCTGTACAGAGATTTATTTTTACTTAGAGATGCTTCCCTTACTAAAGCAATCCTCCCAAATTATACTGACTTCATTACCAGTGCATTGGTGTGCGAGTGGAGTGGCATCAATCACTTTAACGTTTGGTAATTTTACTACATTTTCATTTTCTCCAGCTTCACGTGCTGTCTAGGGAGTAAAATTAGCAACCACTGTGCACGCACTTTACTTTCTGTGTCACAGAGCAGGAGAACCCCCTTGTAGAATTGTTCTTTTCCTCCAGCTTTTCAGTCAATTGTTGACTGTTTACTGATTGCTTGCTTTATGGCAAGGAATTAATGGACAGGGGAAGGATGTGTGTATGTATTTATGGATATACATTTACGAACCATTCTTCTAGCCCAATGCATAACTGGAAATGAATTAACTTTTAAGTTACACTTGTGTGCGCCATTACGGTACACATAAATTGTATTGCATAAAGTGTATCTGATGTTTGCCCAGTAGGTTTATAAATAGTCTCTCTTCTTACAGAATAACTTTTTCATTGTATGCATACAATCCTTCCTGGACCATGTCTTGTTTTGAATCCACTATCCCGCTACTTATTGTTTAAAACCTGAAAATCTGAGGTATTTTTGTTGTTGTTGTTGGTTACGTGTTTTTTTTTAATTGTCATAACATTTATGGAAACATTAATTTTTAAAGATTTTTTTAAAAAAAATTTTTTTTAAATTATTATTTTTTTTTCTCCATTAAAAGTTGCTTACATTGTAGACTCACCTGCCTTGCATATTTGTCGTGTGATGTGAAGTGAGGTCACTTTGCATAGCCGGTAAACCCTAAATTGTATTCCACTGGAGTTCCTTTTTGGCCATAGCTGTTTGGCAATTTATATTTTCTACTTTTATATAAACTTCTCTTGTTTGGTTAATTGCTTCCAACTGTACAATTTTAGTTTCAATCCTGTATTAAACACCCCTGTTTCAAGGGAGAGAGTTAGCCAGATGCAGTTTGTACAGCTCCTACACTTGGGTTCATTAACAACCAACCACACAATTGTTTCAAATATTTTTTTAATTCTTTATTTTTGCAGTGCAGATTCAAGGACAAGATGCAAATATGACATATAGCACATAACGTAATAAGACCTAGTTATGAGTAGTCAGGAGGTGCTCCACTTTTTTTTTTTTTTTTTTAAACAAATAAAACATGAAGAAAGAGTTACAGGCTTAATACTAAACGGAGTAGACATGTTGATTAATGAGTATACCATGCATGAATACACAGGTTGTATGTGTGGACATGCTAAGCGAAAACAAGCTGGGTAAGGAATAGGTAGCCATTAGAGATGTCGCGAACTGTCCGCCGGCGAACAATAGCGTGTTTGCGTTGGGCGAACATATCCGATTTCCGGTCCGCCCCCTATACGTCATCATTAAGTAAACTTTGACCCGGAACCTCACAGTCAGCAGACACTTCCTGGGAGGGAAGTGATGTGTCTGCTGGCTGTGAGGTTCCGGGTCAAAGTTTACTTAATGATGACGTATAGGGGGCGGACCGGAAATCGGATATGTTCGCCCAACGCAAACACGCTATTGTTCGCCGGCGGACAGTTCGCGACATCTCTACTAGCCATATCTTTAGCAGACATATCTAGATGTGAACCACCCCACTATTTAAAGCAGATAACATTTTATGGTAATACTGTAATCCCATCATATGCATTAAGAGTACAGTTGGCACAGTCTCGTGACATCGCTTCACCTTATACACTCAATGGGCCTTGCACTGTCTGTCCCCATGGAGGGGTCCTTTGGGACATTGAGCTCACGCGGAGGCCATCTATGCTGACTGGTAGTCAGGGACATCACCCCCGCACCATATCCAAATCCATAGGGGATCCAATTGTGGTCAGTGTTGGCACCTGCCTCTGTGTCAGTTTGCCTGTCACTCTGTCACTGGACCTCGCCGCTTGCCTAGTCACCATAGTGGGAGCTTCACTCAGTCAGTGCTGATGGCTCTAGATGGTGGTGTGTGTGTGTGGTATGATGGTGGTAGTGCAAGCGCATTCTGTTACCCAGACCTCTCATCATTTCTGCCCGTTGTGTAAACCCTGGGCTCTTCGGCCGTAGAGTGGACTTTTTAGCTGCCCTCCTTGAGTGGAGCCATTGCGGTCTCTGATGCTGTGGATGAACTGTTGGGGGGACCCAAGACCACCTGTAAGGCCCGAGGGCGAAGGGTTGGCTTTGCGGGTAAACATGCTGAAAGGGTTTGTGCGGCACATGTGCGAAGCCTATGTTGTAGCTTTTCCCAGAAGCGTCGCAAGAGGGTGTCTAGCCTGGATAGAGCATCGCCGGCAACCTCACCTGAGGAGCACGCCCGTGAAAGCGCCATAGCCGCCGTCATCTTGAGGTCGTATGCTTAGCATACTGCTGCTTGGGGTAGAGTGTCTGGGTGGGGGTAATTGTCTGCTGATGTGGAGGTGGGAACCAGGATAACCCTCGCTGGTCCAGGGGAAGGGGATGTAGAACGGTCTGCTGTGGAGTGCAGCCACCACTCCCAGACAAAACCGTGCTAGGCCTCAATGTTGCATACCGGAGCTCCACTGTAGATAAGTTGCAGAATCGCACCCGCTGGCGCCCGGGTATCGCCGACAAATTCAGGTACCTTTAGGCCATGGCAATCTTACCCTTACGACTACATTCCTGTCTTTGTACAGGCTATAAAATAAGCAGGCTTTGTACTTTGTTACGTTGATGAATTTTGCAGGGGGGGGGGGGTTATTATTTAAAACTTCTATATAATCTGTCATTTATTGTGTCTAACCTATTTGATGGTATTGTTTTACTTTTCACCTTTCAGGTTTTTGTGAAGACTTTGGTACAAGACTTTTTTTCAAATTACTTTCTTTTTGTCTTTTGTATTAAGTAATGTAGACCCGTTGTTGTCTTTTTTTGTTTTTTCTCCTTTTCTTAATTTTTTATTTTTTTTTATTTTTTTTACAAAAGTAAAATTAAATTGCTACTCTTTGTGATTTCATGAAAGTCTGCCCACTGTGTTTGAGCACCTTGTCTCCGAACTGTTGACTTATAGTGATGCTGTGATTTCATAATAGTTCTTGAATAAATACCCCAAGACATTTTGTATAGCATTAGCAATGCTGAAATGGTTAAAAATTCTAACTTTGCTATAGGAACACTGTCTAGCCAGGAAATGGCAGGAAAGTCAGGTGTCTCCTCAATCTTTTGGAAGAAGGGAAACCCATTATATACTATGAGGAAATGTGATAGATGGTGGTGTAGTTATCTATAAAGTTTGTGGGTTTTTTGTTTTTTTTTGTTTGTTTTTTTTCTCTCTAAATTGTAAGCACATTCCTTCATGCTATTTTTTTTTTTTTTCCTCCCATTCTTTCTTGGTTCCTTTTCTGTTCCATTTTGCAGGTAGATAGAAGTTGCATCTCCTGATGGGTCCCTTTTTTTCATTGCTCTTATTTATTTATTAAATAAAAAAAAAAAAAAAATAAAAAAAAAAATTTCAACACTGTGTGAACAATCGATGGCTACAGTTGTCAGTCCACATAGTACCCACATGAGAAATGTCCCTAATCCATCAGCATGGGCTGGCCCCAAATGCCAAGCGATTCTCTCATCTGTGACAAACCACAATGTGGAGCAGCTGACCTCTCTAGTCCCAGGAAACAAAGGTCCAACCCTGCCCTTGGTCATGTCCCTCCTAATGATAACCTCGTATTGCAATACAAGAAGCTGCTAGCCATGAATAAACCGCACTTGATATTTTGCTCTACAGGAGCAGAGGCCTCTCTGAACTGTCCTTGGGGAAACTTGGCACCTTTTTATGTAGCATGACATATCTTAATGAGGTCATAACAATATTTGATCATTACCTGACCACAAGTGGTTTTTCAGCAAACCACTGATTCCTTTATCTACAAGTATCAAACTCCCTATGATATGATTCGTTACATTCTGTAGTGTGACACTCTTGCAATGTTCAAATCTGAACAAGTTGCGTCCATATACAGACCAAAAGACTAATGTCTAGTACACATCTGGTTGGCATGTCTCTCCTGGCACCAGTTCTCTTCTAATTGGCAGGGGAAATGTTCCCCCTACACTGAATCCCCCTCCAAAAAATAGTCCCCATGCCATAATTTCAATATAACCTTTCAGAGTAAAAGTTATGTTATGGGTAAAATTTCAAATTTCGGAGAAGACCGTACTAATGTTGTGCTCTTAATTACTGCAGCTCAGGAGGTTGTGTTTTTTTTTTCTTGCTGGAAAAGAAACCCACTTCTGTTTGCAGTTTTCAATTAACACTTACAGTGTGAATGAATTTAAATGACAGCTCAGCTGTAGGTTAGCGGCAGCATATTTTCCACTCCAGTTAAGCGGACGGCACAAAACTATTTCATTCTGTTAAACATAACGAACACTCTGTTATTACACTATCTATTCAGAGCGCTCTTATAAACTCTCCTACTCTTTATGCAGAGATTCCAGTAAAAATTTGAGTAAAATCCACTTACTCTTCTCGTTTTCAAAGTCTTTTAAACCAAATAAGTTGCTTGTACTTTAGTATTAAACCCCTATTTAATAAACCATCATTATCCTTTACAGAATAAGATTACTAGTTTGTGGTACTTCTTAACCTCAAATTCGTGTATTCTAAATCAGAGATGCAAAACTGGCTCTTATGGGCGTATTAAGAGCAAACCATTTCTTAGAAAGGGCAAATTGCTTTTTGTACAGCAGGGCTTAACTCAGTGGGGCCTGCGAAAGCTCTTACCAGGAGCCTTACAGTTCCAACAGAGGCTTTGACTGGCATCTGTAAGTGGTCAGATTATTCACAAACCATTTAGCACATTGGGACGATAACCATTTCAGTGTTCTGTAGTGGTTATGGTTCTTAATGTGTGTTTTTTTTTTTTTTTTAACAATGTATCAAATTTGGCATATGCGTAGAAATACCGAACGATAATGCATTCTCTTTAAAATGGTGTATACCACTGTGCAGGTTAGATTTTAAAGGGGCACTCTAGGCACCTAACGTTCTGCAATTTGGTTTTCAATTCCCTACATCATAATGTCGTGGTTTTAGTGCTTAGGCAATTACTGTTTTGTCTGGCAATGTAAAACTTTACTGTTGTTGAGAAACTGCAATGTTTACATTTTGCATGACCAATCTGATGCACCTTCTCCATGTGATGTTTTGTGTGCGTGTGGTTTTTTTTTTTTTTTTAATATTTTTATTTTATCAACGATGGGTGCCATAATCAAAAATGGGGACGTCAGCGTCTTCTCACTGTGATTTTCACAGTGGGAAGCTCCTCTAGCGGCTGTCAATAAGACAGCCACTAAAGGCCGAGTTAACCCTAGATGGATCTGGCACCCAGACCACTTCATTGAGCTGAAGTGGTCTGGGTGTCTATAGTGGTCCTTTTACACTGTAGACATCATCTCATATTAGAAGACACTAGCTTTCCTGAATGATTTGTCTTTAGTCCAAAGGGTTTGTTCACTAAACAGTAATTTGTGGTGAAAGGAAAACTGGCAAAATTTTGTATAAAATAGCAAAGCTGTCACAAGCGCTGTGCTGGAGAATTTTTCCAAATCCACAATTTTGTGTAAATGTTTGTTTCTTATACCTTTTCTATTTAGCAAATAACGTCTCTGGTGTAACTCTAGCAAATTTACAATGCACCTGTGGAAATTGCAGAGGTGTGTTTTTATTTATTTATTTTTATTTTACTTTAATATGATATTCACAAATTAGATAAACATATTCTTCATTCACCCCAAAAAAAGTAATTGTTAATGTTGATCATATCTGTTGCGTTCAGCAAATGTAAAATTCATTCTCGCTTTTCTTTTTTTTGTAACCTGGGCTAACCTGTGCATGTTTTGACTTTTCAGAAAGAAGAAACCAGTGGGGAAAAACGTCCAAGAGGCCGTCCAAGAAAATGGGTACGAATCCTATTTTTGCATGTATAATCTCCATTTAAGATATCTGTTTCGCTCGTCAAATGACCTTATTTAGTAACAAAACTCAGATTACAATGATCCTTGAAGAACCATAATAACTGTAGCTTATTTTAGTGTTACTGCCAAATGATTTCGATGCGGTTTGACAAAAAAACAAAAACTGGTCTCCTACCGGCATCCATAGACCAGATCTCTCCTGCCACACTGATAATGCAGAAACTACACTTTGGAGTTATAAAGTGGGAATCCTTCAAACCATGGATGGCAGTGGTGTGTTTTTTTTTTTTTTTTTTTTTAATTAATTTTTTTACAGTCTTTGCAATAATGTGTGCATAATTAGTACAGGTTGAGGAAAGTAATTAAAAATAAATTAATTTAGTTGTTCTGATTTACAGAATATATAATTAGTGATGTCCCAAACTGTTCGCCGCGGACTCCAGTCAGCTGACACATTCCAGCCAATCAGCAGCAGACCCTCCCACCTCCTGGACAGCTCACTAAGAATGCAGCTTCAAAATGGATGCTGTCCAGGAGGTGGGAGGGTCTGGGAGGGAGGGTCTGCTGCTGATTGGCTGGAATGTGTAAGCTGACTGGAGTCCGTGGCAAACAGTTTGCGAACCGTTCAGCGAACAGTTCAGGACATCACTGTATATAATGTGTCTGGGATTTTAAGTTTTTTTTTTATTTATTTATTTATTTTTTGGTAGTTACAGGTCACAAAGCACAAGGAGTAAAATTTAATGTGGAGCAATTTTAGAATTTGGTATGTTTGTCTTGTAAGCTTAATAGCCATAAAAGAAAACAAAATTGCCACACAAAAGTATATATTTATATAAAGTAGACATCACAGGCTATTTACCTAGGGTTGTTTTGACACTTTCTACGTAGCCATTTCACCGCCAATCTCTGCTAAATATTGCAGTAAAATTGTATTTTTGGGGGTTTTTGGCACACAAACTTATAACAAAGAAATTCTCATGTGTATTTTGTAAAGTTGGTATGTGCTATTCCTATACAAAGTTTTATTTTGTGTTCAGTTACATCTGCTGAGTAAAATGACACCCCCATTGTATGTCTTTGGCACTATTTCGTGAAGTTACAGTGCCACATAGGAGGCCTGTTCTTTTCAGTATTCACAGTAGAATTTTGAGAGATGGATTTAATGATCCTATGCTTCCATTTGGGGTATTATAACAGTTTGACTGTTCAAAAAAGCCCACAAAGGCCTACCATTTGTAAAAGTAGACACTCCAGGGTATCTAATAAGGTGCATATTGTGCCTTAAAATGCCCCCATTTTTTCACCAATATATGCCAAAGTATGTGGTAAAAAATAATTTTGTGCGTTTTTTACACATGGATTGCATTTTTGCTGGTCATTTTGTATATTTCACATGTGCCACTAAGTTCAAACCCCCCAAATTATGCTCGGCTAAGTATTCTGAGTAAAAAGACACCCCCAATGAATGTCTTTGGCACTATTTCGGGAAGCTACAGTGCCAGTGGCGTACATACCAGGGTCGCCCCTGCGACCCGGTATGTACGCCCAGGGCCAGCCTCTTCCCCTGGGGGGCCCAGGAGCCGACCACCCCAGGGCCCCCCTGAGGCTGGCCCTGCTGACCCCGGGTGGCCGGTGGGTCAGGCAGGCGGGTGCGCGAGGGAGCACTCAGTGCTTCCTCTTTCAGCTCCCTCGCGCACCGCAATGATACCGGAGCCGGAAGATGACGTCATCGATGACTGATCAATTTTTGCACCGGGGCCCCATGGGTCATGTGTACGCCACTGTACAGTGCCATATAGGAGACCAAGCCATATCAGTTTTTACCGAACTTTGAATTTTGACGCTGGGCCAATGTGCAATTTCCAAGCATCTTAGCAGGGTTTAAATTCAAACTACCCCACAAAGGCCTACCAATTCTTAAAGTAGACACTCCAGGGTATTTCAAAAGGTATATTTTGAACCTTAGCTTGGGATTATTTTCCCGCTAGCTTGTACCAAGTGTAGTGGTGAGTTTGCACAGTATATTTTGCAAAACCTATGTGTGCTACCAGTTTATAATACTTCATATGTTGCTCAGCTATGTCGGCTGAGTACAGCAATACCCCCGTATGTACCTTTGACAGGTATATGTGGACATCGGAGGGGCACATTTGGGACACAGCCATTCCAGTTTTTTTTCAAACTTTAAATTTTTACGCTGTGCCCATGTCCTATTATTATAGAGTATTTTACTAGGCTATATAATCCAAATACCCCATAAAGGCATACCATTTCTTAAAGAAGACATCCCAGGGTATTTTAAAAGGCATATTTTGAACCTTAGCGTGGGATAATTTTTCCACTAGCTTGTCACAAGTGTAGTGGTAATTGTTTTTTTTTTTTTTTTTCCTTTTTGACACACAAAGTGAGTTTGCACAGGATATTTTGCAAACCTTATGTGTGCTACGACTGTATAATACTTCATATGTTGCTCAGCTATGTCGTCTGAGTACAGCAATACCATGTATGTACCTTTGCTAGATATATGTGGATGTTGAAGGGGCGCATTTGAGACGCAGCCATTCAGTTTTTTTTCTAACTTTGAAGTTTTACACTGTGTCCATGTTCCAATTTGGAGTAGTTTAGACGGTTGGTTATTGAAACTTCCCCACAAACACATACTATTTATTAAAGAATACACCCTGGGGTAATTCAAAAGGCATATTTTGAACCTTAGCGTGGGATCATTTTTTCTCTAGTTTGTTCCAGGTGTAGTGGTAATGAGTGTTTTTTTAAATGTATTATTTTTTTTATTTTTTTTACTTTTTGAAACTTTTTTTACTTTTAAAAACTAGTTTTTAAACTTTTTGTTTTGCTTATTAATTTTTTAAAAACTTTTCTAAGCTTTATTAAAACTTTTTTTTACAGATTTAACATTTTTCTAAGCTTTTTATTTTTTTAACTTTAACCCCTAACTAGCAGTAAGCAGCACTAACCATAAATTTCCCATAACTCCCACCCACCCCAGCTAGCAAAATATATAATTATAAAATATTTAAATTAATTAAATAAATTGAACCCCTGAGGGTTAAAAAATAAATAAAAATTAATCCTCAGGGGTTAAAAAAAAATTAGATCACAGTATAATTTTGATCACTGTAGGCAGTGATCAACTGGCAGGGAAGGGGTTAATTTTTATTTGGACTAGGTAAGGGGGGGTGGTTTTTTTTATTTTTTACTTAAACGTTATTAAAACTTTTTATTTTTTTAGCTTAATTTTTACCTTTTTAAAGTTTATTTTAAAACGTTTTTTAACGTTAACCCCTAGTTAGCCTAACACCAAATCCCCCAATTCCCCACTAACTTCTACCCACCCCAGCTAGCTAAATATATAATTTTAAAATATTTAAATTAAATTTAACCCCTGAGGGTAAAAAAAACCAAAAAAACTAATCAGATGACTGTAAAATGTAATCCCTGCCAATTGATCACTGTAGTCAGTGATCAATTGGCAGGGAAGGGGTTAATTTTTTAATTAAAATGAGTAAAGGGGGTGGGATTTTAAATAAACTTTATTTTTTTTTAACAGGGGGCAGGATCAGCACTGTTCCGGCTCCCTGCACTTCACACAGAACCAGGAAGTGCATGGAGGCCGAAGGTGAGTATATGCAGCACATATACATGCTGTCAGAGCGAGCACATGTGCTGGGACAGACCGATCGGGTGCTCCCGGTCTGCCTCTAATTCTGAGGCAGACTGGAGCACCATTAACCCCGCGATTGCGGCGATCCAGAGTTAATTTTAACAGGTGACGGACAAGGTCAGTCACTCATCGTTATGGCAATCCCCTGAGTGACGGACCTCGTCTCTCGTCGTTAAGGGGTTAAAGGAAAACGTGAGTCTCTATCAACATAACTGCAAAATATACCTATTGGAATCTATTAATAACCCATTGAACTTGTCTTGGGATTTCTTTTGGGTTTCTTTCTCCAGGCTCTGCATATAAGCTCAGTACATTGCATTCTACTTATTAGGAATGCTGCCTATGCAAACATTAAATAGTCTGAAGTTTGATCAGAATGGTTAATAGAGCACACATGTAATTACTTTAAAGTTCTATCGCCAAATCGTGTCCTATAGTTTATTATTAGACTAAACTACCAAGAATTCCCTGGCAGATCTTTGTAGTCTATCCGCATCTAGAGCGGGGATGCCCAAAAAGTTAAATCCCCAGATGTTTTAAAACTACTGCTTCCATGATGCTTTGCCATTCTAAAGGCATGCAAAGCATGGGAGTTGTAGTTCTACAACTGATTTTAGAGGACTGTAGTGGACATCCTTACCTTCTTACTAGGGGTCCTCCAGGTGCTACTTCCACCTCAGCCACAACCAACAGTCAAAAGCTGACTCTCTCCGCAGATGCGTTCAGACAAAGAGCTAGTCCCACACAGCTAGATTTGGCTCAGGTGAGCGAACCGAAGTTCCTAAACAAGCGGATCTCTGTTGGCTGTAGTGGAGGTAGGGAAAGAAGTCAAATCATTCTAAAACGTTTTGATTACTTACAATGGAGGGTAGGGACACTTGGCACCATTACCACCACATTACACTGTAGTGGTTATGGTGTTTGGCGGGTTTAATTGGGAATCTAACAGGGGAGGGGGGCAAAATTTTAGTGCAAAGGAGATTAACTGAAACCCTTTCCAAGCGTGCTGCATTTTAAATTTTAAGCTATTTTGTTTTAAAATTTGAATTTCATTTTTAATTCCTGTAAATTCACAATATAGTAAATAACTCTGAGCAGACTTAAACCAACTCACCGTGTGCAAACTTTGTTTGTCACTGTTTGAAAAGAAGACTAACTGTCAATAACATTATCATGCTATGGCAGTGGACATATATTATAATTTGGTTTCTGTTTTCAGATGTGATTGAAATGGTTAATTGTAAACTGTAAAAAAAGCTTTTTAAATGCCCAACCTCACTTGATGACCAGACACTGCTTTCGTAGCGGTAACCGTGGCTTTATCAGCCAGATCACATGCTCCATACCTATCCTAATCTGTGCTATAAATCAGACCAAAGACCTTATTTGGCTCCATCAAAAGACAAAATACAACCTGGCAGGGGAATTGACGACATAAATACCTTCTTCCTTTCGGGGAACACCTTGTAACAATAAACGTAGGGGTATAGGGAGAGTGCAAGCCATATGTAGCGGAACATAATCTTGGTTAAAATCTTCCATTTAAATTGTTCTGGTGTGTTAACCCATTCCTGATCAAGATTAGACAAGTCTTATTCTGACAGTGCCGACCTAGTTTGTATTACTGGAGTTACTCTGAGAGTATATTGTGTCTCTCAATGTAATACTACTTCTCACACATTCTTAAGAAGCTTTCTCGAAGCTAAAAAGTTATTTTAATTTTTTGAAAGATTTAGTGCCATCTATTTTACTTGTTTTTGGTAAGATTATTTAACTTATTAACGTAATGGGATATTTTTACTACGAAAAACTATTTAAACCTTAGTGTTTTTTTTTGTTTGGTTTTTTTTTATGGTTGTGTGGGGTTTTTCTGCCTTCATCAAACTGAATGGCTGTAAATCTTCAAACGATCATCTAAGACAAAGAAACAAATTAAACCTATTATAAGTTTCTATCGAATAAGGTTGGGACCCCAGCTGGGGTACCAGATCTCTTGCTATCCTTTTGGAGTATGATCTTGCCATCTAACAGCCATCCCTTCTGCCTGCTCCTTCAATTAGGCAGACACACATAAGAGCCCAGGAACTCTGGGCAGGAGGCTCCTCACTAGTAATCTATTTTTTTTTTTTTTTTTTTCTCCGCATGTATGAGATGGAGTGGTTAAGTTGTACATGGTAATTCAAAAGGGAAGGGGAGGGAGAATTTATCACAAAAGTTTAAGGAAAAGATTTATTCAGCGCAAAGTGGTTATTTTGTGGGACAAGCATTTGCCTTCCACAACTCTGCTGCATGTGTCCCCATTCCGTTCACATCACCATGAAGAATGTGTCACTCTCCTCTGCAGAATTTGTGTAATTTACCAGCATTGGAGGGTTTCAAAGCATGAACTGCTCATTTAAAGTTCTGCTAGAAAATATTCTCAGTGGGCTTTTAAAGGAACACTCCAATCACCATGACCACTCCAGGATGGTCCCTGGTGATAAAAATAGTCAAAATTTGTATAATTTATTTTTGTGTATATGTCTGTATCTCTCCATCTATCTTCTCTCTCTCTCTCGCTTTCTTTTTTTCTTTTCTTCCATTCCCCTTTTCCACTGAGAATTTTGTTAGGTTTATGCAGAGCTGGGCTATTAAGTGGAGAGAGTAAGCTAAGCTCTCAAAGTCCATAAGTGTGGTCCCTCATGGTACTGCTTAGCTCTGTAGTGCTAACAGGATTCTTCTAAAGAACACCGGATGCAGGGACTGCAGGTGCCTAGCGTTGCCCATGTAAGTTGCAACCATATTTAAAAAAAAAGTTTGACTACATACTACGGGAGGCCCCATGGCATTCCTAGCACCGTAACCTCTTCAGTGTGTTGTAGTGGTTATGGTACCTGGAGTGTTCCTTTAAGTCCAGACTTTGATTAGTCTGTTCCACAACCGTTTGGGAGATTCTTTCTTTTATCAAGTTTAATGCTTTAGACTTTATAAAGGGAGGATCTTCTGAAAGCTTTTCATTCCAAAGTTCTATTAGTCCTGTAAAAAAAAGGTATTCGAAAATCAGCTGTTTGACTTCTCTAGATTTTTTTTGTAGAAAACAGAAGCCTGTTTCAATTTTGTATGATGTTCTTATTGTGATATGTCGTGTTTGATTCATGCCAACTTTGGCTTTCCAAAAATGTTCCGCTAGAAGTTCTCCGTCCACCGAACATTATCCTGAAAGGATCATTGTGCATTTTTTAGACTGTGACATGATTGTTTGTCTTCCTTGTTAGAGGTTAACACCTTGGACATGTCCTGTGAATTCTAACTTCGCCCAGTGATTTTCTTATTGTTGTCATGAACACTGACTCAACAATTAGACAGACATGCAATTCTGTAGATGTTCCCCATGGTGGTTTTTGATACTTTTCAGATGAATCAAAACTGTGTTCTAGGAGATAACTTTGAAACTGTGGTACATAATGCTAGGAGTGGCCAGCCTACCAAAATTCCTCCGTTTGCACGTTTGCATTGTGGTTTTGAGTCCCAGAGCCTTAGAAATGTCTTTCTGTCTTTCTATTTTGCTGTTTTCCTTATTTCTTCTCATATCATCCAGAATTTATTTTGCTTGTTTTAACTTTGTCACCAACTTTACATTGATGGTAGGTTTCTGTATAAGTGATGTTTAGATCCACCTGGGCTCTCTGTAAGAGTGTCCCTGTCCCCTTAACCGTGATTAAAAAAAGCAAGTCAATGGTGGCAATATAGAAACTGCAAAAATGTCTAGGTGACACAAAATATCAAATAGATGTTATGCATCTAAATACCTATTCTGTATTTATTTTAAAGATTGCAGTTTTTGTTTTTGTGTTGTAGAGATGTGTAACTTATCAATTTGCCATTGCTGTAATGTGTACACGCATTCCTATTTAAAGTTTCTAGCATGCCATATTGGATCAGTGTGCATAGATGCATTCACGCCATCAACCCGACTATAAAATCGCCCTAACCATTTCACTTGCTTCTTGTATAAATAGTATATAATTGAACCATGTGTTTATCCATAAATGTAATCCACCCCTGCTTCAGCCAATCTTGGTGCATGAATTTGAACCTGTGGAGGTTTTATTTATTTATTTATTACTGGTATTTATAAAGTGCCAACAGATTCTGCTGCGCTGTACAATTAGTGGATCACGTACAATATACAAAGACAAATACAAGAGGTAGAGAGCCCTGCCTGTAAGCTGTTAACTACGTATTGAAGCTCTTTGATACAAAGTGCTTAGCTAGATAGCCCGTGATCTTGAGACACGTTGTAAATCAGTGACAAGCCCTGGAGGCTGCAGTCTCATGGACTGATCGCATAAATTTAGGGTTAAGAAAAAATGGTTAGTCAAACGACTTTTTGATGATGAATTAATTGTTGCGTAGAATGGGAAATTTTAAAAAACTAAAAAAAGTTTTTTTTTTTTAATAAAAAATTTAAAGCGCTGAAATTATTTTTAGTTTTTATAAACTGTAAAAAGCAAAAGATGAACTTTTCCTCTTACATTCCATGTAACAAGTTCACTAGATAAAACCCACTTTACATGTAAAAGATTTTTATCATAGTTCAAAGCATTCCTTCTTGTATGTTTGTGAAATATATTGCAAGGTCAGGTCACCTAAAATCTGGTAGTCTTTGTAACGTGTTGTCATTAAGCGGTTACCTCCCAGACCCATTTGCTGTGTGCAGGTTAGCAGCAACGCTGACCGTACCATAGTTCTAAGCTAAATCATCTACTGCCTTGTTAAAAATGATATATTTCTCTTTAAAGATTAATCGGAAAGCTGCATTCAAAACGGAGCAGATTTATTTCAGCATTATCTGTGAGATGTTTCCTTGTTTCAAAATGTTCAATTTTTTTAAAAACAAAGCGTGAAGATGAGTTCGTAATGGTATGGTTCCAATAACACACTCCAGAAACATGCCCTCTGGCGCTTTGGTATGCACATAAGGCGTAAGATTTGTAAGTGTCAATATAAGATGATTGGATAAATAACCTTGGTAACAAATGTAATGTTCCTGATGATTCTGTAGGTTTCTATGGCGATTACTCGGTTTTTACAGCTTTGTTTCACTTGGCAGCAATTTTACAAACACATCTACTGTGAACACAGCATTTTCTTTTGTTTTACTGTAATGATCGTTTTGGATGAGCAAGTAAAGAAATTAAGATTGGTATCATTAAAGGGTCTCTCCAGCATCAAATACTGCAGTGTGGTAGTGACGCAAACAATTTCGCCAATCGTGTACCTGCAAGTATTCTGTAACATAGATACATAACAAAAACCTGGAGATTCCATTTTTTATTTTTTTTTAACTTAAAGGAACACTATAGGGTGAACACACATGTATCCCTGACCCCATAGTGTTAAAAACACTATTTAGCCCCACCGGCCCTCCTAAATATAGTAAAATATTTTTTTTCATTCCAGTATACTAGCGCTGTCTCTGCCCCGATCTACCACCTTGGCTGACCTCAGAAATGATGATCTCAGCCAATCACCATGCTTTCCCATAGGAAGGCATTGGATTGGCTGAGACTGTCAATTCTGATGATCTCAGCCAAGAAGGTGGACTGGGGACCAGGGCCAAACGCCACCTTGGCCAATCAGCATCTCCTCATAGAGAGATTAATTGAATCAATGCATCTCAATGAGGAAAATTCAGTGTCTCCATGCAGAGGGTGGAGACACTGAATGTTAGTGCTGCAGTGGAAGCACATCTAGTAGCTATTTGAGCAGTGGCCACTGGAGGTGTCCCTGGGTTGTAATGTAAACACTGCATTTTCTCTTAAAAGGTAGTGTTTACAGCAATAAGCCTGCAGGAACTAACTATATACTCACCAGAATAACTACATTAAGCTGTGTGTTCTGGTGACTATAGTGTCACTTTAATTGCTGTATAGGGCGTGAATACAAATAGATTGTTCTAGTTAATAGGTAGATTTGTGTATGCTTTTGGTAGCAGTGTGTACAAAATCCCCCATCCCAACCAATCACCAGTCTAGCAAAGTTCCAAGAATGGTTTAGAAAAAGTTACTTGAATAGTTACTAAGTCTCTGTGTGTTTAAATTAAGTGCTATGTTCTAAAAATGTGTGCAAAGTATGAATGGTGGAACAATCCATGTGGAAGCAACAGGAACACTGAATTGCTGGCTTGTACACTTTTTTGTGTTTTTTGCACCACTTTTCAGAAGGTGGCAGTATGATAAGTCCCCCCCCAATCCGTCCTACAGACTGCATTAATAGGTTTTCAGATGGAAAAATTGTCCAGAATTGATCTTTATACACAGCCGCAAATACTGGGCATGGTTTGTATCGGAGTTCTGTAAGAGGTGCATTCAGAAGGCACATTTGTTGGCACCTTGTCACATTCTTGAGAGCTAGAGGAATTCATTGTTCTTGTTTGAACTGATAAGAACAAAAAAGGATTTTCTGCCTGAGACCTTGGAAAGCAGGAGGCTGGAATGTTGACACGGAGATGCTGGGCTGCATTTTCCCAAGCCTCCTTCCTGCATGGTTTCTTCCACAGCCGAGCAGCATTGACATTAGGTGTGCTGATTAGGCTTATTTGCTTCCAGGGGCAAATCCAAGAGAAATGATGGAGTGTGTGTGGTAGATTCCTGTGTTGATCACAATGCTGGGAACGAATTATTAAACTTGAGGTGACTTCAGTTGAAGTTTGACTTCATGCATGATTGCTCCTTGGTAATTACTACTGAATATAGTTTCACTTTTATGTCATTCTCACAACCTTTTTAGTTGTTATTTTTAAAAGCCTAAAATAAAAAAAAAGTCTTTGTTTTTTTTTTTCTTTTTTTTTTTTCTTAACCTTTTTAAACTGCTTTAATCAATAGAGGCAATAATCCTGGCAAGCCCTTTATTCCTTCCTTGAATACCCATAACACACAAATATTGTGTACAGAAATAGACAAAATGTATGCAGTTGCTGTAGAGGAGGTGGAGTCTTGGCACCTTAACTACCACAGCATGGTGTAATGGCCATGGTATTTGAGTTTTTAACGCTTTCTGTATCAGTAGGTATGTCTCTATATTCATTGTTATATTTTAATTTGTCAGTTTGACTTCACTGTTGTACAATACTATGAAAATCTGGTTGTACTGTGCTAAATAAGGACCCACGCTATGCGTACATTTTGTCTATTTCTGTACACAATATTTGTCTGTAGTTATTCAGTGCAGGAAGAAAGGGCATGCTATCGATACAACCATTTAAAAAGGGGGAAAAAAACCATCAGACTTGGCTTTTAGGATAAAAAAACGACAAAACAAACCATACGATACCACCCAAAGAGGACGCAATGATGCCAACTCTCCACCGGGGAAAATCAAAATGGCTGAAGGTTTAGTGTAGCCAACTTAGTAGATAATGTTTTAAAATGTATGGGGGATATTCACTAGATAAATTGGTTTTCTCTAAGTAATCCGCACACTAACAACAAAATAACGTATAAAGCAGAAGTTGCGGACACTGCAGTGGTCATGGTGTTAGGATTGCCCTTGCGCCCTACATTTTGACAATTTACCTAAGGTCCACCAAGCTGATGCTCTCAGACAATTAGCAGACCCTGCAGTGCAAGGTTTAGATTCATAAGGGCTTCCAGCTCTCCTGCCGGCTTTGACCCTTTCCCATTGGGCATCAGGTAAGTTGTCAAACCATTTGTTGCTGTAGTGGTTATAGTGCTTGGAGTGTTTAAATTGTGTATTCTTGGTCATACTTAATGGGTGTGTAAAGTAGAATCAAGGTGTGCGTCTTAAAGAATCAAGATTAAGCAAGCCTACATATCCCAATGATGAATCACTCAAATACCTGCTTAATGGAGTGGCCCATGCTTATTACTAAGTACAGTACACATATCTGGTAAAATACATTGCAGTAACTTGATCCTAAAATTGTCTGCAGTGGTGATTCATAATTAATAATACAACTGTTTTTAGTAGAGCTAATATTCAGCATGCTAAAACCCATTTCTAGTTTTAAAAGCCAACCCCTCCCCCCTTTGTTTTAAAATTTTTTTTTTTTGGTACTTTCCAAGGTTTAATGAACAGATCCTTCAATTTTACACGCCTCCTTACAAGGTTGTGCGTGCCAAAACCAATCCCTGATATATCCCTACGGAGTTAGTGAGCGCCTCTGAGGACAGAGTGGTGCATTAAACGAGCTTACTTACTTTTTTTTAGCAGATTTATTATTATTATTATTATTATTTATTATTATTATTATTATTATTATTTATATAACGCCAAAGGGTGGACTAACAGACATTTAACTGTAACCAGACAACTCAACGTACAGGAACAGAGAGGTGGAGGGTCCTGCTCAATGAGCTTACATTCTAGACTTTAAAAGATACATGTGTTATTCTTGCTGTACAGGCCCCAAATGGGTTATCTCAGTTATGGTATTTTCTCAGATATACAGTCTAAAAAAGTTGCCATTTTGTCAAATAAGACAGATCACATCTGTACATAATGTCATTTTTATGGGATGTAGCCCATTGACCAGCAAAGCTAAGGGAGTGGGCCTTGACAGAGCTAGGACAGAGCTAGGAGGCGGGCATAGAGATGGGTAACTTTTGGGGTAACTACGTTTACATGTTGTTTTTATTTTATTATTTATATAGCACCATCAGATTCTGTAGCGCTGTACAATGGGTGGACTAACGGACATGTAATTGACAACTGGACGTACAGGAACAGAGGGTGTGGAGGGCCCTGCTCAATGAGCTTACATGCTAGAGGGAGTGGGGTATAGTGACACAAAGGGTAAAAGTAGGGGTACAAAGTAGGTTGTTAGAAAATTATTCACTAAGGGCTTAGTAGGTAATTTTTGACAGTTGCAGGAGAGGAGTCATGGGGGGTAAAAACCTGCCAACAGTTTAATTGATATGGGAAGGGAGGGAGTTCCACAGAAGAGGTGCAGCCCTGGAGAAATCTTGGAGGCGAGCATCAGAGGTGGGAGTACGGACAGAGGATAGATGTGGGTCTTTGGCAAAGCGCAGGGTCCTCGATGGGACATACTTGTGTATTAGGGAGGATTGGTAGGTTGGAGCAGCATTATGTAGGGACTTGTAAGCAAGCACCAGGATTTTAAATTGAGCCCTAGATCTAACTGGAAGCTAATGCAGGGACTGATAGAGCGGGGAGGCGTGGGAGGTACGAGCGGACAGAAAAATGAGCCTCACCGCTGCATTCATTATAGATTGCAGTGGTGCAATCTAGGAACACGTAAGACCACTGAGAAGGGTATTGTAGTAATCAAGGCGAGAGAACAGCATGGACCAGCACCTTAGCCGCAAACTGCGTTCGCAGATGCACGCTATGTTTTTGAGATGGAAGCAACAGGATTTGGCGATTGATTGGACATTTGGGGTGAAGGAGAGGTTGGAGTGAAAAAGAACATCCAGGCAGCGAGCCTGTGAGGTAGAGGAGATGGAACCACCGTAGACTTAGAGGGAGACAGACACGGCAGTAGCAACCCTTGAGGGAGGAAAGACAAGAAGTTCTGTTTTGGACAGGTTGAGTTTAAGGAAGTGAGCAGCCATCCAGTTGGAAATCGCAGAGAGGCAGTCAGAGACTCGAGTCAAGTTGGGCGTAGAGAGATCAGGAGAGGACAGGTAGATTTGCATGTCATCTGCATAGAAATGATAACGGAAGCCAAAGGAGCTGATGAGTTTACCAAGGGAGGCAGTATAGATAGAGAACAGTAGGGGACAAAGGACAGAATCTTGGGGGATGCCGACAGAGTGGTTGGGGGGGGGAGAGGCAGAGTCAGAGAAAGAAGCACTGGGAGAGGTAGGAGGAGCACCAGGAAAGAGCAGTATCTCGTAGACCAAAATTACAGAGAATGCGAAGAAGCTGTTGATGATTAACAGTGTCAAAGGCAACGGAAAGATCAAGGAGAATTAGGATAGCGTAATGGCCATGAGATTTAGCAGAAATTAAATTGTTGGATGCTTTGGTCACAGCTGTTTCGACAGAAGGACCAGCGTGGAATCCAGACTGAAGGGGGTCCAGCAGAGAGTGTTGGTTTGGCAATTACCCATTTGTGTAGAATTTATATATTTTATTAAAGCGTTGATATTTAATTCCACTTTAACCTGGTGTCTGCCCCTCTTTGGGGGCTGGGGGGAGGGGGTGGATGGTTATAATTTTAATTGACATATGCCAAAAAGACGACTATGCGCATGTCATGAATTGCATGCGCACTTAAGCAAGGTATTCCAAAAAGGTAGATCCCCAAATGTTTTAGAACCGAAACCCCTGGTGATTTTTTTTACTTTTTTGGCACCTCTGACTAAACATAATATGAGAATGGCCATCAAATTTGGTTGCGTTTTGCACAGTTCAAGCTTATTCAAAAGATCCAGCTTGTGTACTGCAACATGTAAAATAATGTGTGGCACAAAACCGCAGACATAGCATTATTCAGTCCCCCGACCCTCCCCCCTCCCAAAATGACAATGTTTTACATTACGTGAGGAAAACGGCAGGGACACTGCACTCAGAGCACTACATTGAGATTGTCTGGTTGCCCATAGCGTCATGGGACTGCCACAAAATCAAATAAATATATAATATTCATGTTTTACTTTTGGCACCACAGACTGAATGCAGATTCATGAATTAAAATCCTATTTGTCCATTGTCCATATTTTTTATTTAATTTTTTTTGATACTTTTTATATGGTCCTTCGGAGTTACAGAATTCAGATGACCCGCCGATTCAGACGAATTGACAGAACGTGAATGGATACTAGACTCGTGCATTCCGTTTCAAATTATTTGTTTGGTTCTTGTTGTATTAAAGGGGAGAGGGTGTAATGCTGCAGCATAAATCCGTCCATTGCTGTCTTGCCAGATTACACCCCCCTATATGATTGCATCTCAGTGATAGAGGTAGGTAGGTAGGTAGGTAGGTAGGTAGGTAGGTGGATGGATATATTGTTTGCTCATCTTTAATATATGTTCCCATGTCTGGGAATCTGTTTTTGCTTTCTTTTGTATGTAATACACTGGTAGTGTTTCACTGCTCTCTGCTGGCGAATGATCTCTGTGGTCTCGTACTGAGCAGCAAGGTCATGATGCTTGTTTTAAAAAGAACAGGTGCAATGGATCCACCAATAACCTACATGCTTATGAAAATCAAGCAAATTTGCATGGACTTGTATGCATTAGCTAAACGGCAGACAGACCATTCATAGAATTTGTTTATACCAACAGATAATTTTGATATTTGTTTGCCACATTGTACTTGAGTTAACTTTTACCTACCATGTTTAGAAAATCTGTTCCTTTGTATAAAGTTAGGTTTTACTTTTTTTAAAAGCATAATAGAACTTTTTTTTTTTCTTTCTCTGCACCACGTGTATGTGTGTGTGTGTGTGTGTATATATATGTATGTATGTATGTGTATATTATTGTTATCCACATTATCAACAATTTAGCACAATGATAAAAATACACACAGTACTTATATGGTGGCAAAGATTGAAGCTGCCTCCCCAGAGATTTTTTCCCAAGTCTCATAGATCTTACATTTTAGTTTGGGGTGTTCTCATGTTAACAGCTTTATAAACACAGTACATTTATATACAAGAATCTGTATAGAATATATATATATATATATATATATATATATATATATATAAAATAGAAAAGCCCCTGCACTCACGCTTACTTGTTCCCAATGCCGGGTACATATGCCAGAGCTCCAATAGACACAAAGGGCAAAAAGAAGTGGCTACTCACCGGACCTAAAAATAAATTCTGTTGTATAGTGTTAAAAAATAAGCTTTTTAACACTATACAATAAAAAATTTTTATTTTTAAGTCCGGTGAGCAGCCACTTCTTTTTGAGATAGAGAGAGATATATATATATATATATTCTCTATCTCAAAAAGAAGTGGCTGCTCACCGGACTTAAAAATAAAAAAAAATTTATTGTATAGTGTTAAACGTATTTTTTTTTTTTTTTTAACACTATACAATATTTATTTTTTTATTTTTAGGTCCGGTGAGTAGCCACTAATAGAGAAAAAAGAAAAAAAAAAAAAAATATATATATATATATATATTCTCTATTATTCAAGCGATATGAATTTAAAGTGACACTATAGTCACCAGAACAAATACAGCTTAAGTCCTGGCTAGTAACACCTCTAGACGGCATCCATAGAGATGCATTGATTTAGGAGATGCTGATGTGCTCCATAGGAAGGCATTAAATAAATGTTTTCCTATGGGCATTTTCGAATACACATGTGGTGCTTGCAGTGCACACGCATAGGGTACCCAGTGTTACTTTTTAGGAGTATTGGATTATTGTGGAGGGGGCCATGCCTCCTTCGTGACCCTTACTGGAGGACGAAAGCTAAGCAGTGCTGAGGGAGTAGCAACACTATAGTAAGGTAAGTAAAACATTACATTTTTTATATTTTTATTGCACACTGGGGAAGACTTGGAAAGGAGTAGGGACAGTGAATACTATAACATTAGGAATACAGATTTTTTTTTTTTAAATTTTATTTTCATTGTTTAATATCCCCACAATCTTTTCACCTATTTAATTTTTTTTTTTTGGGGGTTATATATAATCTGTATGTTGTACTTTAAAAAATGATTTATGCCTGGAACAGCCCATATACAATGTATATGTAGGTAATCTCTGCAATGCTGTGAGTGTGTATATGTGCCTACACAGCACTGTTGAAAATTTTTTTTACTATGCAGACACTATGTATGTCTGTGTAGTAGAATGGAAATTGTACATACCACCCACAATATAAATTTTAATTCACTGAATGTTTTTCCATTTAAATCCTCTCCTCTACTCTTGCCATTTAATACATGGTTTTTCTTTCCTACTTCTTAGTCAGTCAGATGATTATTGCATTTTAAGCTCCTGCCTACTTACGGTACTTCCTTGTATTTATTTATTTATTTTTTATTTTCATTCTACAACTTTTCCCTCCCACTCAGGCTCTAAGCCTGATGCTCTTGGCTGCAGGACAGATACTGTTGGCAGAGATCAGAGACACTCTTATTGGTAGCAGCAAATAAGAATTTGGCAGCAATCTGAGCCCTCATGATTGTGATTCATGCAGTACTCATGAAGCGAGGAGAGTTTGCAAAGGCTTCCACGTCCAGAGCACTGCAGATATAGTCACGATCTTTTTATAGCACACACATGCCTTGAATGCAAAATATTGAACTTCTCTCAGCCCACCTCTGATCTCTCTGTGCGAGTCACCTACTTAATCAGTGACCGCTTACTTGTAGGAAACATTCAATTAAATATTCAGAGACCATTTATTTTATATATACTGTCCTCCTTTTATGTCTGCCAAACCATTATTTTTATATAAATATATATTGGTTTTTAAAAAAAAAAAATTTCTAAAGGCTCTCACGAGGCAAATGGTTTTATAATGGATGAACACTGAATGTGTGCATCCATTACTAATCCAACCATTATTTCTCAAGCAACTTCACTCTTGAATATTCCGTGACCTGCCTTGTATGTGCTTTGTTGGTAATTTTGAGAAACTATAAATGAGGATTCTCTTAACTCATTTAGAACCAATGACATTTCGTCATTAAAGGGAACAGAATCATTTATTTGGAAATTACACCATTCAATAAAATATTAAAGCAATCATTAAAATAGCCTTTTACTTTATTTTTTACCGGAGCTTTGGCTGAGATCAGTCTTGATGATCTCAGCCAATCCAATGCTTCCCCCCTCTGGAGGCTAGTGTGTTTTCACAGCAAATTGCCTCTCCTCCTATAGATGCATTGAATCTGTGGAGCATTCAGTGTTAAAATGCAGAGCGTAGAGACGCTGAACTTCATCCAGGATGTCCTCCTAGTTGCTTCTGATTAACAACCAATAGGGGTGGACTAAGGCAGCAAAGTAACAAAACATCACAGTTGAGCGTGCACTCAGGAAATGAGCTTGAACGGCCCAACAGCATTCACCTTCCACTCCTTGGGTCAGCAATGTAAAACCTGACTTTTATTAATGTCTCTAGTGCTATGCTACTGGGTATATAGATGCATTGTGTCTTACATTCTTGAAGTTATCAGAATTAATGATTTTATTTTTAAATATTTTTTTTTGTGTGTGTTTTGCAACTCTATCTCTTTTTTTAAAGTGACTGTCACTAAACTTCAACCGCAGTCTATGTATGCCTCCCTCCAGCAATGTTTAGTGGCCCTGAAACCAGGGCTACTTAACTTACTTTTTTTTTTTTAAGTTGTGCTGGTCTTGCCAGATCTTCATTCACAGTTCTACAATCTTAGCATTTTCAAGATGGCAGCAGTCCTTCTGTACCCTTCCTAGAGCACACAGTGACCATTGATGAATTGACATCGCCAGTAGTGACATGTTGCTGGAGAGAGGAGAGTATTAGGTTGATGCCAAGTGACAAAGTTGACTAAAGCTCCACCCTTAGACAACTTTTATATTGCTATAAAATATATGTATATATTTTGCTGTATTGTAAATATTACAAATCTTACTTGTTAGTCACCTAAAGGTTAATAGTTTATCCTTTGCCTCTCTTTTGGTGTCCTTGGGAGAGAGACACTGAGGGGACTGCATTTTTTTACTTTTTTTGGAATAATATAATAGATACAAAAATAAAAAAGTGACACGGCCACTTAAACTGCCGTTAGGTTTATTGTCTTAAACACACCTCCATTTTGTGAAACGTAACATTGTAAAGAAATACCCCATTTTTTATTTTATTTTTCTCCAAGATGAACAAGAAATGTCTGTATTATGTGTTTAATTCAAAAATTCCTTTTTCCTCTGCGTGCATATTTATATTGATAACCGTGGTGCACTGCAGTCAGACTTCTTTTCAAGCTATGCTAACCTAGCCTGTTTCCTGTTTAAGGTGAGAGAAGGTCTTGAATGAACGAGGGGTAAAATTACAGCTGAGCCTTCTAATTGATGTTGCTGCAGAACTTTAAGAAATACAGTTGTGCAAGAGCCTTTTTGTGCAGCTTTCTCTACAAAGTCTATAGAACAGTGCAATGGGTGAGCAGTCTGTTTTTTTTTTCATGATTGCTACAGGATGCTCTGTTTTATTTATAGAAGTAAAGGTAACCGGAGTCTAAAATAAATGCCCTCAAATGGTACAAAAGAACAGCATGTCTGACTTAACTCCCAAAATTTCCAAACCATTTCAGCATTGATTGTTTTGTATGGAACTGCTAATGTATCGTTATATATGTTCAGGTTGCAGTGTTAGCCTGATGATTTGGATACAGTTTCGAACGGTTTATGAGGATTAGTTTTAAATAAAAATCAACATATTCCGCAGTGTACAACAGACAACACCAACAGTGTTGACAGTAACAAGATATTACGAATATCACGCTCAAACTAATAAAAGTAGATGTCTAAAATGTACTCCATTGTAACTGGCAAATTCTTGTGGAACTCCATAAAACAAGTGATATTCCTTAGAAAATTAGATACAAGGCAGAAGATAGGTCACATACACATGGACTACAAAGAAGTAGCAATTTAATCAACTGTGCAAATGTTATCACTAGATGGTGGTTGTCTCTACTCATGACTCCTTTTTTTCCACAGCTTTATGGAAGCCGGTAGAATATTTAGTTTTGAATGAAAGCAAAGGAGGGAATTGATGTTCTAATTATGAACAAACTAAAGACTGTAACCCAGGTCAGTTTGCCATTCCTAGATTAACCAGTTAGTTTTTGTACTACGCTATTGATTTTTGTTCCTTGGTGATCTTGGGTCACATTTGACCTTTGTGGGTCCAAGGAAATGATATTCTAGAATCTTTTTTTTTTTTTGGTAGTGTGGGAATTTTAATAAGGGATAGCCTCCGTGTGTCATTGATGATCATTGTATTGAACTGACGGACCTAGACACATATCTTTGTGTGTGTACTTTAATACTCTGGCAATTTGAATAGAAAGTATGACACTTCCACAGTTCTAACCATCTGTAGTTTTCATACAGCATGATAAATCACGGGTTTGTTTTTTTGCAGGCACTGCATATTTCTTTGAAGTATTTTTCGAGCTGATAAATATCTTTTTAGAAGATGCACTTAGAATGTATGCAGCTGATGATAATTAATTTAGTGCTGCTTTGCACAGATGTCCACTTGGAACAAATTTGTTTTATAATTAATAATATATAATTGAAAAAAAAGACGTAATAATTTGATAAAGATGCCGTTTTTGTGTGTATGTGTGTGTGTATATATAAATTTTTGTTTTCTTTCTTTATCCCCCTATGACAATAAATTGTCATCTTCTACTCATGCGTTTCCAGACTTGTGAAATAATTTTGGTGCGGTCATACCTCCCAAGAAATCTGGAACTTGGAAAGGCGTGAGCTGAACATCTTGACCACTCTGTGAATGATAGCAATACTGTCTTTACTCCTTTTTTGAAGGAAATATTTGGCGTACACTGTACTGAAGGTACACTCATTCAAGAGAGTGTCAAAAGAGATCCAGGAATTTTTTAGGAGCTATACCTAAAAAAATAAATAAATAAATAAATAAAAATAAAAAATCAAAGCTCATGTGTTAGTCAGTCTTTTAAAGATAGACGCAAGATGATCTCCTGCTTGCAAGGTTCAAAAAAAAACAAAGCAATATTTCATAAAAACTTTTGGTCTTGGTCAGAGTAACCATTCCTATACTGCCACCACTCCAAAAAAAATTAATAAATATAGCTAAAACTTGCCTTGTTCCAGTACCGTGACAAAGTTCTTCCTGCAGCCTGATTCTCCTCACTGGGAGGAGGGGAAGAGGCTCCCATTCTGCCATTGGCTGTCTGTCGCCAGCATGCTGTTGTGTTTGTCAGACCCCAAATTTGCACACAATTCACATTGGGCTAGCTAATGATGCGGCTGGAGGTGCAGTTACACCTCCAGCAGGAGAGGGTTTAAACTGTATGTGCAAAGTTTAATAGCAAAACACTGCACATACAGACTCTATGCACCATGACCACCTCAAATCACTGAAATGGTCATTGTCACAAACGCACCCTACTTCAAGAGTGTGCGTGACGTAGTTGTGGTGGTGAAAGGGTTAAAGTTCACCATTTGTCCGCACTAGACCGGAAATAATGACAAAATCCCCCTTAACATCCACCCACACTTAAACATAATAATATTACTATATTAACGCTGCCACCGCCAAGTCAATTTATAAATTGGGTGCCTTGGTCCCCCAGGTAAATCAATAATAAGCACCCACCAAATACAACTTGACACAATATCTAAACAATTGCAAAATACTAATTAGTCTCTTCGGGTAACGTGATAACCAGACAAAGGCAGAACTTTAATAAAGGAATATTTATTAGGAGCAAAAAAAAAAAATAGTCACAGTGCATACAAAAAATTTATGAAAAAACTAATTATTTACACCAACAACAGATAAAAACAAAAGGGATAAAATAACAGAAGTCCTAAACACTTACTCACTTAAGTTTTCAAAGTAAAACTTCTTCCCAGGGGGTCTCCAGCAAGGAAGATTGTGATTTAACTCATAATTCGATTTTGCCCCCCCCAACCCCCCCATGCAAGTACACAGACATTTCAGTATCATTGGATATATAAGGCGTATCTATATAGAAATAATGAGTGACACACATTCATATTCACCTACAGAATAATAATTAAGCCTCATTTGTTATATTTGGAATGTGACAAGCGCCATCTTCTAAACAAGCCCAAACATGGCTGGCATAACTTAACTAAAGGGGAAGGAATTGTGATGTCCCCCATACTGGGTCGCAAGTAAGGTGTGCGACATATGTCTAGAATGGGAAAATAACACATTCGTAGATGCAATTATTATTTCTGTGGTAGGTACATAAGATAAGAAAGAACTAAATGTTTCCATTTGGAAATGTATGGGTGAATATGAATCTGTTCAAGACCAACATCAATCCAATCACATTCTTATGCAATTTATTTTACCTCTTCTGTCATCTGACCTCTCTGGGGGTCTTGGCTTCAAAAAGAATTAAGGCAATAAACCTTCCATACAGTCAAATTAACCCCTTTTGACATTGACAATATTCCATCTCTACCAGGCAAGCAGATTATCTATGCACTACACAAATTACATTAAAGGACAATATTCCATAGTGCAATAATTTATGCACCCTTGCCGTGACAATCATGGTGCTTGAAGTGCCACTTTAAAAGGTCATCTCAGGCTTTGTTGACCTAAAATCCATTTCCACAGGCACGAGGTAGTGCGATTTCTTAGCTCATATTCTTCTATCAGTGGGATTTTTGTACATCTCCTATGATCACTGACCAGCAGCAGTTTGATATGTTCAAGAGAACCTTCATTCATGGTGGAGAAGGGGGAGAAACAGAATTAAAATGCATAGCAAGCAAACAGAAGTTCCAGCCCAGATTCTATTCGCTTTTGTAGTTTCACTCCTAATTTTTCATGAATGACACGTGTGACGCTTGCGCGTTGATGCTGTACAGGTGTCTTGCTAAACATCTATGACAGAATCCACAAAAGTCCTGTGTGTGTGTGTGTGTGTATATATTTAGCACAAACAAAAAATATAAAAATGTAAATCTTAAATTACATTTATTTTATTTCCCCCCCCCATGGTCTTTTACTCGTATTTTGTGTGCCGTAAACTGATGAAAGCTTGTTAAACACAGTATGTAACTCTACGAAATGATAGTTATAAGGGCTGTATGTTATTCCAAACCGATTCATTTTTTTTTTTTTTTTTTTTTTAAGGAATGTTTAAATGAAGCCTTTGAACAGTTCCCTTCTCGCCACCCCCCTCCCCCCCCTCCGACATCACCCCAAATAATTATTGCCTCTCATATCCTTTTTGAGCCTTTATTTGCTTCAGAATACCACTAGACTTCCAACAAAAGGCGACCTGTGCTCCCAGGAATTCTCTGCATTCCTTTCTGGAGTAGGCATTTTCTTAGCTACAAAGGCCCTTTGGCCAGCTCTCTAATCACTGGATTTATCCTAGACTCTGATAGGTGCCATTCATGGGCATAGTCTGCTGTGTGATGGGGTAAGGCATTAATGGGTTCTTTTCATCATAAACAAAACTGTGTAGTTACTGACGGTGCTGAATCACAAAGCAGCTCTTGCTTCAGAGGGAATTGCGTCCACATCTAGTTTCTTCTGACTTGTTTGCTGCCATACATCACTTCATGTCCTCGACCAAATGCCTTTTTTTTCTCTCTCTCTCTCTCTCTCTCTCCCTCTCTCCCTCTCTCCCT